GCTTAGCCCATTCTGTATTTAGGGTTTAACCCTTATCTTACATTATAAATAAAATACCCTATGTGTATGCTAAACACATAAGGGAGATTTCTCCTAATCTTCTTCACTATATTTAACAATACAGAAATTCATTCTTTCTTTCTTCTTTTGTTGACTGTGAGCGTTGATAGTTAGGTTTCCAACCCAGGAACCTAACATACGTTGACTTGATTGTCAAAATGATTTAACTTTATATCTTTACTCCTTACTTTTATGTAGATCTGACATGTTTTCTTTTTTTTATGTTCTAGTTGGAGACCTTTAAAAAACAACTGATGCTGTCTCTAACTGATGACAATGCATCGGTAAGACAACCTAGCTATACTTATAATGGTTCCACTTGCTTTTGTTGCTGAAAATTACCTGTAGTATTATTTTCCTAAACAAGATTGTCTTTGTTCTTGTTACAGCATACTGAAGCCATAGATATTGGAACCTGTGATCAAGCAGTCCCAAAGGCATATCCTGATAAGGGTACTCTCTATTTTCTACCTCGTTGATTATTTAATTATCAATTTTGAACGTATCACTTCCTGGTGATATGAGTGAAATGTCATAAGAGTGTTTGTTGGCAGTTATTTACTTGCATTTCTTTTGTGTATTGCTTGCAGATGATGATGGTTATACGGTACATCATTCATACAATGGGCCTGAAGATGCGGATAAAACAAATCATGAAGGTAGATGAATTTTCCAGAGATCATTGATTCTAAACATGATAATGTTGTTGCTCAACTGTTAGAATTAACACTATTTCTTCATATAGGTATTATACCATTCATATGAAATTACGTATGAAAGTGAACTTTAATAACCAACTCTAGCATTGGGTTGAATTCTCTTCCACTTGAGTATTATTTGGCATCCTTTGGTCATCCTTGGCATGCTTATTTAAAGTTCTTGTATAGTGAGGACTGAAAATTGTATTATTTTATCAAACTAAAAACGTGGAAATAAACTGTTGTACTGGAAAATTAAGAATTTGGACTTTCTATCTAAAACAATTGAATTTAACTGGAAAAATTGTTTAATATTACATGCAGGATAATTCCCTTTTGTTCTGTTTTTTTGTTCCTATAGCTTCCAGGTATTCAGGGCAAAGGTTTTCTTTGACCCCATATATCACACCACGTCTTACACCAACTGGAACTCCAAAGGTGATTTCAACGGCTGGGTCTCCTAGAGGATATTCTGCTGCTGGATCACCCAAGAAAACTTCTGGTGCGACCTCTCCAACCAAACTTCCATATGATGGGCGTGGATCTCTCTCTTCATGGTATCCATCTAGTCAGCAGTCATCAGCAGCAAATTCTCCACCTCGGGGACGAGCAGTTCCAGGTTTAGATAATTTGTTAATCTGATCTGTTGTCCCATATCACTAATTCTTGTCCTTGAAACTTGTCATGTTTCTTTGCTCTTGGCACCTTTTACCGCAGTTCTTGATTAAAATGTAATCCATCTTATGCTGCTGGTTATGGCTTTGTTCCATCTGAAGAATTAGATGGCCTGGTGTTTCTTCAATGTGTTTCAGTATTACAATATTCTCAGTTTTCATAATGTGTAAAAAATTGTTCAGGTCGCACTCCAAAGATTGATGGAAAGGAGTTTTTTCGTCAGGCAAGGTGAGTTCTTTCCCATGTCTTCTTAAACTATGACTCTTCAATTTTAGAAGCTTAGTTAGTTGATTCAATGTATCACGTTTTTCAGGAGTCGTCTTTCATATGAGCAGTTCAGTGCATTCCTTACCAACATAAAGGAATTAAATGCTCAGAAGCAAACACGGGAGGTAAATGAATATTGAATATTTGTAGTGTTGGATTTTGAACTGAAACTTTTCGAAGTAATCATTGGTCCACTTGTTCGCTGTTCTTTCAGGAAACTTTAAGAAAAGCAGATGAGATATTTGGGTCCGATAACAAAGATCTCTATTTATCTTTTCAAGGATTGCTCAACCGAAATGCACGCCAGTACTGAAAGCAGCATTGCTTGGTATTTTACGAGTAAGTATCCAAATCGTTGGTTATACTTTTTGTTCTTGCTTTTCTTCCACTATTTCTGCATCTTTTCTGTTTTGAATTTTGGATGAAATTGCACCTGTTTGCATGCTATTAATAAGGGGACGAAACTTGCAGACACTATTGGTACAATTGATGTTGTTTTTCAATCATACTGGAGATTCACTTTGGAAATTTTCGTTTTAGATGCATTATATATTACCAAGATGAGACTTCAATTTGATAGGAGAATAACATCAATTGTAAGTATAGTAGAGTATAAGTTTTGTCCTTAAAAAGGCTGTGATTACTGTCTTAAAAAATATGCATTGTGTTGTCTGCTATTTTGCTACCTCTTCCTTTGATAATGGGATTTCACAAACATGACCTGATATATTGAAGTTCATTCCTTGGAATCACTTTAGCCACAACCCCATTCTCAATTTTGGGATTTTTTAATATGTAGCTGTTAGCAATCCTACAGAGTAAATAAAAGACTTGATGTGATATTAAAATCTTGAGAATCTAATAAACACCCAAGTGCTCGTGGAACCTACCCCGTTAAAAGCTACTTATTAAGTAGTGAGATTTAAACACAAACATATTTCATCAAACATTTGATACTAATTGATGTGAGATATTGTTAGGTTACTTTATATGAGCAACCTAAATCCACGCTCATGGAAGAGGCTCCAAGGAGAGGTCGATTGAAGCTGTGCGAACACGAACCAGACCTCCTCGAAGCTTCTCCGATGAAGAAATACGCAGCGGAATGTAGACGAAGCTCTAGATTGAGAGCTGACTCGAAGGAAACCGAGAGAAAAGCTCGAAACAGAGAATAAACTTGATAGAAACTGATAGGAATGAGAAGAGTTGGAGGGTTTATGAGAGAAGGAAGAGAAATACATAGTTAAGCAACCTAACTACTTATTACAGTTAGGAAGGGCGGGAATGACAATTGTATAAATAGTTGGGTGCTTGGGGGAAAGGCACTTTTTGGGTAGTTGATTTGTAACAGGTGTTATCCTGTGGAAGGGGTTAAGCCCTTGTTTCTGTAAGTGTACAGAGAATCTTTTGTGAATAATATACAGTTTGTTCCCATTCTTGTCTTCTTACTGTTCTGAGAGGTGGTTTAGAGGGTTCTTGAATAGGTTTCTTAATCAGAAACCTATCAATTGGTCCGACCTGCCGGATCCCAATTGGAGGAGTGACGTATGCGCGAGATGGAGGGAAGAGTAGTGGCGGTGGAGGGGTGGAGGGTCAGTTGGAGGCGGTGGAAATTGCAGTAGCGGAGACGAAGGCTGACACGGTGGTCTTGCGACATGAAACGGGAGTGTTGAGACAAAACTATGAAGCGATGAGGCAGGATATCCAGGCGATCCTGAAGATACTAGGGGATCGCAATCGCGATCCAAATAGCCATTGCCAAGGGGCTAGTAAGTCGTCGGTGAACGACAACGGCGGAGGAACCGAGGGAAATAGAGGAGGAAGGGGGGAAGGGAATCAAGAAGGCCCTTCCAATTGGAGGAAACAGGTGGAATTACCGGGGTTTGAAGGGTGCGACCCATTCATTTGGATAAGCAGAGCGGAGATGTTCTTTGAGGTGCAGAAGGTGGCCGAAGACGAGAAATTACAATTGGCTTTCATCAGTATGGAAGGGTATGCCGCGTACTGGTTCCGTTTTTGGAGGGAAAAAACTAAGAACAATTCTTGGATGGGGTTGAAGAGGGCGCTGGTGATCCGATTTGGGGAAGGAGGACAAGGGTCAGTCTATGAGAGATTGGCCGCCATTAAACAGGGGGGATCGGTGACGGAGTATGTTCAGGATTTCGAAGTGTTGGTGGGACAGATGACGAGGATTCCAGAGGAACAACTCTTGGGTTATTTCATGGCGGGACTCTAGGAGGAGGTGAGTGATCAGGTGAGGCCCCATGATCCACAGGATCTAATGACCGCAATGCGAGTCGCGAAGGACGTCCTGAAGCTACGTTCTCAGTCGAAGATAGGAGGCAGACAGTCGACTAAGAATCTGAACTCTTGGGGAGGGGCAGCGAAGGCTGTCACACTAAGCGAATTCAGTCGTGAGACGCAGGGAAGAGGGGGAAGCACGGAGAGCGTGGGGTCGGTAAGGCGAGAGACGACTCAGGTGTAAGACCCATTGTGGAGGGGAGAGGCAGAAACATTCGAAACTTACCCTATTCGGAATTCATAAAAATAAGGGAGGAGGGAAGGTGTTTCCGATGTGGAGGACCTTTTAGCCCAGGCCATCGGTGCCCAGAAAGAGGATTGAGGATGTTGATTTTGGCCGAAGAAGAGGAGGAAGAGGGGAGCGAAACAACGGTAGAGATGGACCATTCCCAGATGGAGTTATCGGCTTTTTCAGCAGGGGAGTTGACGTCTCCAAAAACAATGAAATTAAGAGGAAGCATGGGGGGCGAGAAGTGCTGGTTCTCATAGACAGTGGTGCTAGTCACAACTTCATACGTCAGGAGCTAGTGGAGGAAATGGGATTGACAGTGGCCGACACCCTGCCTTATCGGGTAAGTCTGGGAGACGTCTATCAGAAAAAAAACTCGGGGCTACTGTGAGGAGGTGAAGATCAGGTTGGGCAAAGTGGAAGTGGTAGAGAGGTTCCACTTGTTCGAGCTAGGAGGGGTGGACGTGATATTAGGAGTAGAGTGGTTGGAGAAATTAGGAGAGGTGACCCTGGATTGGAGCAAATTGACCATGGTGTACCAACATTTGGAGAGGAAGGTAAGGATCCAGGGAGATCCAACATTGGAAAGGAAGATGGTGGAGCCCGGTGGTTTACTAAAAATGACGGAAGTCGAGGTTTGGTTGTTGGTCTGGGAGTTAGGATCGTTGGAGTCAAGGGAGGAAGGTGAGAAATATCCAGGTTTAACGGAGGAACAAGGTCGAGAAATAGAGTTGTTGTTTAACCAATACAGGGGAGTGTCTGCTGACCCAGTGGGGTTACCTCCTGACCGAGGCATGGTGCATCACATACCTCTTAAAGAGGGCATGGACCCTGTCAATGTCAGGCCTTACAGGTACCCTCATGTGATGAAGGGGGAAATAGAGCAACAAGTAGAGGAAATGCTCAAAACGGGGGTAATTCGACCCACCCACCCATAGCCCCTACTCGAGTCCTGTCATCTTAGTGAAGAAAAAGGATGGTAGTTGGAGGTTTTGCATCGACTATAAGGCGTTGAATCGTGCCACGATGCCTGATAAATTTCCAATACCAGTGATTGAGGAGCTCTTGGATGAGTTGAGGGGGGCTTGCTATTTTTCGAAGATCGATTTGAAAGCGGGTTATCACCAAATCCGCATGGGAGAAAAGGACATCAAGAAGATGACTTTTAGGACCCACCAGGGGCACTATGAATTTATGGTGATGCCCTTCGGCCTCACGAACGCTCCAGCCACGTTCCAAAATGCCATGAACAACCTGTTCCAGCCTTACCTAAGGAAGTACGTCTTGGTGTTCTTCGACGATATACTAGTTTACAGCAAAACATGGAGAGAGCACCTCGAACATGTTGCGATTGTGCTGGCAACTCTAGAGCAGAATAAGTGGGTGCCAAACCGGAAGAAATATGAGTTTGGGCAGACTCATATTAGGTACTTGGGTCATGCTCCTGAGAAGGTGAGGGTTGTAAATTAATGGAGCAGGCTGAAAATGGTAAAAGGAGTAAAGGGATTTTTGGGCTTAACTGGTTATTATAGAAGGTTTGTCAAAGAGTATGGGAAGATTGTGTTAGGAATAAAAGAGGGAAGTAACCTAATATCGAACCGTAAGGAAGGGTGAAGTGAAGCCGAACGGTTCATGAGAGGAGAAGTGAGGCCAAACGGTTCATGAGAGGAGAAGTGAGGTCGAACGATTCACGAGAGGAGAAGCCGAACGGTAAGGACTTGCAAGTGAGACCGAACAGAGAGACAGAGGGAAGTATAGACCAAATGATATTCAGAAGGGAGGAGAGAAGTAGAGGCCGAGTGGTATAAATAAACGAATACCGAACGGTAGATGGAAGAGGGAGTTAAGGGCCGAACGGTGGTTGCAAGGGAAGAGGGTGTTGAGGGCCGAACGGTGGTTGCAAGGAAGAGAGCATTAAGGGCCGAACGGTATCAAGTCACTAATATCGAATGGAACAAAGTCGGCTGTTTTCTCTTGTAGGAAAGGGCGCGGGTATGAGATACTATAAATAGTTTTCCTATAACTCTATTCAAGGAGGTTATTATCTTTTGGGTAAAGATTGGGCATATTGGCCCGTAGAGGAAGATAGGCTTCCTTGGGGGAGATTACACTTGTAATTTTCTTTACATTACAGAATCAATAATACATACTTACATACTTTTATTTCTATTGTTCTAGTGTTTGAGTGAGAAGAGAGCGTAGATTTAGGTTACTCGTATAAAGTAACCTAACAGATTGCCAAGCCCCTGACAAATTTATTGAAGAAAGAAGAGTTCTTATGGAATGAAAAAGCGGAAGAAGCCTTGCAGCACCTGAAGAAGGCTATCACGACAGCTCCCTGTTGTCACTGCCAGACTTCCAGCAACCTTTTCACATAGAGTGTGATGCCTATGGTAATGGTGTAGGGGCGGTTTTGACTCAGGGGGGAAGACCAATTGCTTATTTTAGTAAGGCATTATTAGTAGGGACGTTGAGCAAATCCATTTATGAGAAAGAGCTGATGGCTTTGGTATTGGCCATACAACATTGGAGGCCTTACTTGTTGGGGCAAAGATTTGTGGTGCATAACGATCAGAGGAGCCTCCGCCACCTGTTAGAGCAGCGTATTACTACTCAAAACCAACAAAATTGGATTGCCACACTGTTGGGATACGATTTTGAGATAGTATACAAGGCAGGCGTTACCAAGAAAGCAGCGGATGCCCTGTCTAGGAGGGATGAGGGGTTTAAGGAGGAGGAAAAAGAGTTGGGAGTGATGGTCAGGCCATACTGGCAGGACTTTGGAGAGATTTTAAAGGAGGTGGAGGAAGATGACACTTTGAGGAAGGTGATGGAGGATCTTAGAAGGGATTCGAATACCCATCCAACATATACCCTTGAGTAGGAAAGGTTGCACTATAAAGGGAGGTTGGTGCTGTCAGCCAACTCCACATGGATTCCCAGGTTGCTAGCAGAGTTCCATGTTACGCAGACAGGGGGACACTCTGGTGTTTACAGAACTTATCGGAGATTGGCGCAATCCATGTATTGGGTCGACATGAAGAAGAAGGTAACCGAGTATGTCGTGGGTTGCTTGGTGTGCCAGCAACACAAATACTTATCTTCTTCTCCTCAAGGACTGCTACAACCATAGCCAATCCCGAATGCCATTTGGGAAGAATTGAGCATGGATTTTATAGTAAGGCTCCCCAAATCACAGGGATATGATGCTATACTCAAGGTAGTAGATCGCCTTAGTAAATACCATTTTTTACCACTCAAACATCCTTATTCAGCCAGAATGGTAGCTGAGCTATTCATTCCGAAATCAATCGTGAGTGATCGGGACCCCCTCTTCCTAAGTGTTTTTTGGCAGGAGTTATTTAAGGGGCAGGGCACTCAGTTGAAAATGAGCATCGCATATCACTCGGAGACAGACAAACAAACGAAGGTTTTAAACCGTGTTTTGGAGGGATATCTTTGGTGCTTCTGTTCTGAACAACCGAAAGGATGGATGACAGTCTTACCATGGGCTGAGTATTGATATATTACTAGCTATCAGGGAGCAATTCGGTGCACCCCGTTTGAGACAGTTTATGGGCGGCGACCTCCATCCTTGCAACGATTCATACCGGGAGAGTCATTGATAGAAGCGGTGAGTCAAGAGTTGCAGACCCGAGACGAGGCTTTAAGGCAGATGAAGTTCCACTTGGAGAGGGCTCAAGAGTTAATGGTTAAACAAGCCAACAAGGGAAGGAGCCCTGCGAATGTTGAAGTAGGGGATTGGGTATACTTGAAGATAAGACCCCATCAGCAATCTTCCATGCCAACCAGACTTCACCCGAAATTAGCAGCCAGATATTTTGGACCGTTTCAGGTAATGTAGAGAGTGGGCGAAGTGGCCTATAAGCTTCAGTTACCCGAGACAGCACACATACATCCTGTGTTCCATGTTTCACAATTAAGGAAGGCAATAGGAGAGAAAGTGGAGAAGGAGTTGCCTCCAGATTTACAGGCTGATGGACCCTTGTTTTGGCCGGTCAGGGTGCTGGGAAGGAGATTCACGCAGAAAGGGGAAGAGGAAGTACCACAGTTGTTGATAGAATGGCAGGAGGGAGGACAAGATGGGGCGACGTGGGAAGAAGAAATTGCTATCCGGGAACAGTACCCCGATTTCAACCTTGGGGACAAGGTTGAACTTCAGGCAGAGGGCAATGATAAGAATTACAAGAGTTGGAGGGTTTATGAGAGAAGGAAGAGAAATACATAACTAAGCAACCTAACTACTTATTACAGTTAGGAAGGGCGGGAATGACAGTTGTATAAATAGTTGGGTGCTTGGGGGGAAAGGCATTTTTTGGGTAGTTGATTTGTAACAGGTGTTATCCTGTGGAAGGGGTTAAGCCCTTGTTTTTGTAAGTGTACAGAGAATTCTTTTGTGAATAATATACAGTTTGTTCCCATTCTTGTCTCCTTACTGTTTTGAGAGGTGGTTTAGAGGGTTCTTGAATAGGTTTCTTAATCAAAAACCTATCAGAAACCCTAGAAGAAGAAGGAGACCTATTATGGACCGATTGATCGGTGTAAATCAAAGTTTAATCGGTGGAAAAACTTTTAATCGGTTCAAAATTGGTTTTAATCGGCTAAAATCCAAGAAAATGAAGAAAGATGAAGGAAACCCTAGGGGAGGCCATAGAACGAAAAACTGTTCGGTGAAGATGATGTACTATGGACGAAATGGCTGAAACGAGGAATAAGTGGAAGGAGAAAATGTAGATGCGTGAAGAAGATAACCTGATTTGGAGTGTGGAGAAGCGAGAAGAGGCTTGAGCGAAATGAAGCCTCGAGAGAATGAAGACGTGGATGTTGATGATGCGGATTTAAGAGAAAGATGTGGCTGATGAAGTGTCGCCACGCATATGAAGGGAAATTAATGAAGGAGAGCGCCATGGAGGAAAGCAATTAATTGAAGCACAGTGAAAAGCTAATGGAAAATGAGAAATCGAGGTGTATGCACGGAAGGTGGCTAGAGGGAGTCTCTAGCCTGACTTTCAAGGAGAATTATTCTGGTTTCAGAAATACAATTCTCATTCATCTCAAAAGTCCCATTACAAGAGAGGAGCTGAGTATTTATAGTAACCCATGCTCCTTGCAAGCTAAGCTACATATACAATGAAATGTAAAAGTACAAAAAAGAGAACACTAAGAAAGGTACGTCAGACAGGATTCCATCATACGCTTTCTTCCTATTCCTCTCACACACTCAACAGCAGAAATTATATTGTATGTATCTGTATTTCTATTCCTCTCTCACACACTCAACAGCAGAAATTATACTGTATTTTTATTCAATATGTAGTGTAAAGAAAGAAGAAAATATAAGTAAATGTTCCCAAGGAAGCCTTCCTTCCTCCACTGGCCAAGAGGTCCAGTCTAATCCCAAAACAAAATATCCGATCCCTTTCCCCTCATTCTGTTTATTATTTATACTAGCTCTTCTAACAACCTAATATCTTTTCCCGCCTCTACCATTCAATTTTTGCTCACTCCTCAAATTCTACCGTTCGATTTCTACTTTCCCTAACACCGTTCGGCCACCAACTTCCAATACCATTCGGTCATTCGCTCTCCTCCTCTCTTCTAGCCTCCGTTCAGTAATATTATACTATTTGGCCCTTACTTCTCTCCTCTTACCGTTCGGCCATTACTTCTCTCCTCTTACCGTTAGGCCATACTTCTCTCCTCTTATATTTCTAACATATATAGGCATCTCATAATATCCAACCCTGTCTTAGCTCCAATCCCAAAAGCCCCCATGTTTCAGTGACTTTATGAAAGTTAACAAATGATAATGTTAGGAGTTCCAGAATTTAATGAAATTAGAGTTGGTGTGGCATTGAGGTGATGAGGCGGATTATTCTTAATGGTAGCATTTAGTTACAAAGTAAACAAATAGTGAAGGGTGAAGTTGTTTTCCTTCAACATTTGGCTTTAGTGGTAGATGCCCAATTTGGGTAAAAAAATATCCGCATTTTCCATGATTTGGCGGGTTATGAGAAGCTATAGATGGATAGCTGTTTGTGTGTGATAATGTGATAAACTGTTAGCAATTTCATACAAATGACCGATTTGTTGTTTATTTAAAAAAAATTCTTAGTAAAATAAGCAGATTTCTGCTTTGTTAAAAGTCAACTTTTATCTGCATATTAATTATATATATATATATTTATATATATATATATATATATATTAAAGTTGCTTATTTCATATACAGGCAAAACTGAAATTCATTCTTGTTTCAAAATTTGATATATTTTGGTTTCTAAATTTTAAAGATAAATTGATATACTTTTTTTACTCTAAGCTTTTAAATGACGTTCTAGACTGATATTTGAGTTGGAACGTGTCAAACAGTCTTAATAGCTCAAATGCCAATTTGAAATGTGTTTATCAGTCACAAATTTAACGTAATTGGATTATATTAATTCATTTTTTAAGTTTTGAGACCAAAATGTATTAAAGTTTGATACATAGATGAATTTCAATTTTATGTTCAAGTTAAGACTAAAAACATATTTAATTATTTTAAGTTTAAACAAATTGTCTTAATATATAGAATCTTCTAAGCTTATTAGTAACGAGATGCATTGAGTCTATAGCCTTTTTCAATCTGGTATATGGGCATTAAACTAAACAAGGGAAAACACATTTGCATTGTCATAATTTTTCACCACTAGTTTCATTAACATTAGTTTTATGCCTCGATTAATGATCAATACTAAGCTCTTAATATACTAACCACAATGCCGTCTAATAATGTATTATGATTGTTCAACTGCAGTGATCAATTGTTTAATTGACTGTTTTTCAGGTTACTGACCCAACTTGGTTTCTTGGACATGATATTGACTCTTTCCTCCCTGATCCAACAATAACCAAAATCAACCAAAGAAGCACTGATCTGAGCCATTGAATTCGAGAATATATACTTCATCTAGGCCTTGTGTTTGTGTTTTTTATTCCCCGTTGCTTGTGTATATTCAAACTCGTCATTTTTCTAAATGGCATGCACATATAGTTAAAATGCTGAGTGGATATTGCAAGATTTTTGGTATATGGAAAAAGTGCGATGGGAAATTTTCTAAGATGATCTGCAAATGCAAGTACCAGTCTGAATGTTGGCTTTTGTTTCCTGACCTACCATTACTAACTACACTCACAATACTAGGAAAAGACTAGAATACCCTTTACATCACACTGTCACCATCACTGTTTCTACCACTGCATTGCCGCTGCAGAGGAAGAATAGACGATAGTGAGAACACTGTAAAGGAGAAAGAAGAGAGGAACATATAGAAAAAACCTTGTTTTTGAAAGTTTTTCCAAAATATATTGCTTTGAAAAACACATTCTGAAAGGCATTTTATAGGTTTCATACTGTAAATTTTATTTCAGAACACATTTCATATGTTTTGGAAATTTTCTTCCGAAAATTATGGTCTAAAAATTGTTTAGAAAATTTTGTTCTGGAAAATTCAGAATAGAGAATCTGAAAGTCACTTTCTCAAAAGGAAAAATAATCATTTTGAAAATTTGAGGTGGTGCTTGAAGAAATTGTGGAGGTGAAGGGAGTAAAAGTCCTGAATGTTTGGTGACCAACGAAGCAAGGTCAATTTGGTGGCGAAAAACCAATAGAGGATGACAAGATATTAGATGAAATTATTATAAGGGGTCTCATTGTTAATATTTCTAATTTTCTGTTAGGTAGAGAGGAAATAATAGAGTGTATAAAAGAGAGTTATGGCTAGAAGTTTTCTGTATGAAAAGAAATAGAAAATGTAAACATGAAAAAAGAAAAGAGGGGCTAGTTGGCTGATAAACTTTTATACCTCTTAGTTTAATAGTGTTGGAACCAAAGATGTATAAAATTTCATGACAACAAAGGTTATTAAATTTTGATGCATCAAACGGAAATACTAATTATAGGATAATGTCCAAAAGTGAAAAGGGGCAAAACTCTCCATGTAAATAAAACATTGTGTTTTATAAAATTGATATCAAAACAGCCGTGAGAATTGAGCATCCAATGTATGTTAATAGGTATGTTCTAAAAAGGTTTTTATTTATGCTTAACTTGTATCCTTAGATAACTTGAAAACTATTATCCTTAACTTTAATAGGAAACACCAAGTTAACAATTAAAACTCACTTATCTTAGGCAATTCTTCACTTTAGTTAAGTAAAATGTTTGCTTAATTTAGTGAAGTTAAGCAAAATCATTCCTATCAAACATAATAATTGTATGGTTTAATTGTTTTTTTTTCCTAGTTTTATTGTTGTGTGTAAACATATTTGTTGTCGTTGCATTGTCTTAGAATATTTATTGTAACATGTAAGTCAAAAAGAGGGTGACATGGAAATTTTGCAATTAGGGTTTAGATTTAGGAAAAAAAACTTAATGTTAATAGAATTAGGTTTTTCGAGCAAAGAAAATGAATTTTGGATTTATGATAGATGATTGTTAAGTTCGTGATTAAAGAGAATTTGTAATCTACATTATGAACATTGAAGAATTGTAGTTGGGGTTTTTGAAAATAGAAGCACATTTGGGAAGTGCGTTTGGGGATTTTGAAGCGCATTTGACATTGTTGTGGAATATTTTTAACACCGAAATAGGTTCCATTGAAGGTCTAAGGTGTGTTTTTGTTGAATGTGTGTCTATATTTGCTTTGTGGTCTGTTTCGTTGTGGTCCCCTGTCTGTTTCATTGTGGTCCCCTATGAAGTTAGATGTTTGTTTCATTGTGGTCCCCATTATGTCTGTTGTTCTTTTGCTTGTTGTGCCCCATTTGAAAATGATATTTGTTTATGGTCTGTTCAATTATTACTTATGGTCTATTATTGTTTATGGTATGTTGTTGTTTATGGTCTGTTATTGTTCTAAACCAAGAATGACCTTGATAAGTATTCAATTAACCACACACTAAAGCATGTAGTGTCTAGCTAGAAGCCCGAAAAAATAAGGCCCTATTGATACATGTGAGAAACAGGCGCATATAATAACCTTGCTGATGAACCCGCAAATAAAAAAAGTTGTCATTGGTTCAACAGGTGTATGTTAAAATATACCATAATAGTTGAAGCCAAAATACAAATTATGTCCTTTGCTTAGATTTCAAAAATAGATAAAATCATGTCGTTTTCCTGTACCAAAAATGGATTACAAAATTCACAAATTATAAACCATTGGTATTTATACGACTTTTACTATAACTATAAGAATTCACAAATCATCTATCACATGAGATGCGTGATGATTTATTGTCAGCACATATACTACTTACTCAAAGTTTATAATGTATTTTTATGAGTTGACTCTTAATGCATTGTTAGTATAAAATATGTTATATTATGATATATAAATGTTAACTTTTAACTAAATTATAGTAAAAGTCAACAAACTTATCTGAACTTGATATTATGTACATATAAGGTTGTCCAAAGTACATGGCAGTTAAGGAAGATTATAAACAAGCATACATGTAGTAGAGAAATTAATATCCGTTTAGTGACTTCAAAATGGTTAAGTAACAGGTTAGAGAAGACCATAAAAGAAAATCCAAATATTAATCTCACTAACCTCCAAAACAAATTTTGTAAGAAATGAAACATTGGTGTGTCTAGGTCTACAACGTTTAGGGCAAAAACAATAACATACAAGAATATTGATGCTTGTTTGAAAGAACAATATAAAAGAGTATATGACCATGCAAATGAGCTAGTGAGGTCAAATCCTGGATCAACTGTCAAAGTTAATGTAGAACCTAATGACGAGAACCCAATATTCAAGATATTGGATGTGTTTGAAGGCATGTAAAGACAACTTTGTATCATCTAAGCCTATTATAGGTTTGGATGCGTATTTTTTGAAAGAGAAATATGGAGGTGATTTGTTAACTACTTTTGGAAGAGATGGTAATGACCAAATGTTACCTTTGGCATACGTTGTTCTGGAAGTCGAGAATAAGGAAGCATGAACTTGGTTTTTAGAATGGTTGATTGATAATCTTGATGGTACTGCAATTTGTTCAAGATGTACATTTATTTCACACAAAAAAAAGTAAGTAATATATTTCTTTCTTGTTTTCTAATATCACACCTTCGCCTTGCATCTTCATCTGTTTTAAATTAACTATCATACTTTCATTTATTACTTTGATAGGGACTTTTGCTAACATTACAACAACTTTTAGTTGGTGTGGACCAAAGGTTTTGTGTGCGCCACATATATGCAAATTTTAGGAAGAAATTTCTTGAGAAAAATCTGAAACGTTATGGAAGGCAACATCATCAACACACTCTCAAGCATGGAAGGCAGTGATGAGAAAAATTAAAGACTTGAATCAAGATGCCTTTAAGCACTTGATAGCTATTCCACCAAGGCATGTATTCAAAACTTAAAACCATGTAAATTATTTACAATTGCTTGTTTGTCTTTTAAATGTTTTACTTTTTATTAAACTAGACTTTGGTCAAGGTCAAGGTTTAAAACAACAGTTGCTTGTGACATTGATGACAAATTTATGGACACCGAAAAACGGTGCCACAAACTTGTTGACAATCGGCAAGTGTGACCGAATCGTATCAAGTAATAAAACTAGGTAAGACTAAGTATCGTTTTCCCAAAGGACTCACGACCTAGTTAGTTATATGATTTGTTGATTATTTAAGACTTGTTAACAATTGATTGTAGGGGTTAAATGCAAAAGACAATAATTAAACATGTATGCATGAATTTTGATCAATGGAAAAGAGGAAAACAAACACTTTAATGAATTAAATGGATGAGTATGTTGTTGGGGTTATCAATTTCATCTTTTTCACTCTCATATACTTTAGGAATTCATCATTCTTATCATCAATTGCTAATGCCACTCTCTAAATCACCTTGCAAGAAGGCCTATCCTTAATTACGAGTTCATACAATTCCTAGCATTCCTAGTAATTAGTTCTGAAGTGCAGGAGCTTAAAGTCAACCAATATGCTATTGGGAGAAATTCCTCGGATCTAGATTTCCCCGTACGTTCCCATATCGACAAAATCAATAATCATGGCAATGAATGAGTTAAACAAAGCAAGCATTAAGCAAAGAGGAAAATCCCTAACTAAAGATGAAAGAAAGCATGTATCTTAATATAAGATGTTAAAACACAAATTCCATATATGAGAGTTTCACAAGACTACATTGATTCCCCAACAACAATACAAGGTTTAGTTCACCATATTCATGATGAAACTAGATGAACAATAATGGAAGAATGAAAGATAGAACCCTAGAAAGGTGAAGAGGTAGCCTGAGCATCCAAGATCTTCCTTCAAAGGGTGGAAAAGTGAGTGTTTGCTTCGTCTCAACCAAAGATACAAACCCTAGGACGTCCTAAAGCTTATATACTATTCTAAAATATACAGAAAATTAGGCCCAAGCCCAAAATAGTGCCGCTCAACGGTAAACTACCGCTCAACGGTAAGTGCGTGAGTCGTTTCTTCCCCTCAGCGGCCTTTTCACCCCTCAGCGGAGCCAACGTGGGTTTCAGAGTGTCGCTTAGCGGTAAAATGTCGCTGAGCGGTATTTGCGACTTCTCCTTTTGCACTTTTTGATGTCTTTTCTGATTCCATCTCTATCATTCTTCACTTCTTTCACCAAATTCACCTTAAAACTTGCATAAAACACTGAAATCAAGCATAAACCTGTCCAGCTGTCTTATTTCTAAAAATATAACCAAAAGCATGATTTCAAGCTAGTTTCTAAGTGTTAAAGGTTGCTTTTAGTATCAATTTTAAGCATGAAAATAACAGTTTTTCAACTGTTATCAGACACCGTTGTCAATAATATGTCTGAAGCTTTTAACAGTGTTATATTAAATGCATCGGGTAAGCCCATCATAACAATGATGGAATACATTCGTATCTACCTCATGAAGAGATGGACAACAAATAGAGATAAGATAACTACATGTGAAGATTTCCTTTGCCCGAAAATTAAAAAAAGACTACAAAAGGAATTAAACAACACAAAATATGGGATACCTAGGTATGCTTTCACAACAACTTCAATTATTGATGATTGAATATGGATTGGACCATTCTCACTTGAATTATTTATCATTTTGCAGTTGGTCAGGACTCAAAATATT